GTAATCGGTGAGACCAGCTACCCTAAAAAAGGGTTACAAAACCCTCGACTTAAATAATCTTAACACTTTATGATTCATGCTCATTTTTCTCTTGTTATCGGCATATAACGCATTTTTTTCTCTCTGTAAAAAATATCAAATATCTCATTTTTCTTATCAACTTTTGCCGATAATCATGCTTTTTTCTTCATTTTTCGACGATATATTCCTACCAAATTCTGATTTTTTTCAAAAAAATAGAAATTTTCAAACAAAATAGAGATATAATATCATACTCATTCTGATTTTACAATTTTGTTTTACTAAATTATAGTAAAACGTGCAAATTGGTCGGTTAAAAAACAAATCTATCAATATTTGAAACTTTTTATTTTGATTTAAGGTTGTTGTCTCTATTTTGCTAAAATGCTTCAATGGATCAAAAGAAAATGGTTTAATATGGCGATTATAGTACCATCTATCAAGATCTGTAAACTTTTTCAAGAATTTATGATCATTTTTTTTTTTGTAAAACCGTGTTTTAAGTTATTATGCTCATAAGACGATTTGTTATTTGTTTTTTGTTAAACTTATATTTGATTAATTATTTTAATTTTTATCATTTTACAAAAACCATGGCAAAATTTTGACTGGATACTGATACTTTTTAAATTTAATTTCGTAATTTAATTTCTTGTATAATTCTTTGCATCTAAAATGAGTATATATCAGTGTTTACATGATTTCTGCCAAATAAATTAATTAAGGTGTACGATTTGAGGTAAAAGATTACTGCACCTAATAAGTCTAAAATTATTGGAGGAAAAGGGGGAAAAAAGCAGTTATAGATATAAATGCTTGATTTTAGTTGCAACATTTTTTCTATTAATATTACCATTAGACTAATTAAGGTGATGTAAGAAAAAAAATTATAATATTTGTAACTGCTTTAGGCGGGAACTGAAAGTAATGTAATTAAATACTGAAAATTTTAAGCAGGACAATATAATTAAATGTGGGATAATATAATTTAATGCTTTGTTGCTTCAAATTATATATATATAGATTTATAGAATTATAGATTACTTGTTTAACTTTGACATAGAATTTTTTTAAAAACTAATAGGTATTTTTTGCATGATTTTAGCTATAGGAATTAAGAAAGTCAAATTAGTTGCTAATCAAGATCCTACATTTAATAATAATAATTTCTGAATAATAAAATAAATATGTTTGATAGTAGATTTTAAATGATGTTACGATATTGTGTTATAATTGCTAATATTTAATTATAGAATGATGTTATGATATTGTGTTATAATAGCTAATATTTAATAATTAATTTTTTTACGGTTATTTTGCTGGTACAATAGCAAGAGCAGATTGGAGATTAATATTTTTTTTCAATTTAAATATCAAATTTTGTAATTTGATTTATTTTTTGAGTATTTGCAACTAAAATGATTATATATCAATGCTTACACGTTTTATGTCAAATAATTCAAATAAAGTGCATGATTTTATGATGTAATTTACTTGAAAAATAGAGGATAATCGTTTTAATATAATAGAAAAATTTAGGTGAAAAATACATGTAATTATTGATTATGTGTGGTAACAAAGAGAAATAAAAATCAGAAAAAAAAAACAATATAACATATGTAGCAGGTTTAGGAGGGATGTGAAATAATATAATTAAATGCATTTGAGGGAAGTGAAATAATATAATTAAATGCTGAAAAAATTAGAGGAAAAATATAATTAAATACATTAGAATAAAATTAAATGTTGTTCTGCCAAATTATATATTTACCATAGTTTTTAAACCCGGCCCGATAATCGACCCGGGCAGGTCTCCAGGTCACTTGATGAACCGGATAATTAATTTTAAAATTTATAAAATTATATATAGAGTATTTTGTGATATATAAATATACATAAAAAATAACAAACTTAAATATTTTGTATGTAAAATTTGTAGATTAAAGTGGTAATAATATGTATATATTTACCATATAAACATATATGCATAATTTTATTTTTTAAAAAGAAAAAGAAAAGTAAAAAACAAAAAAAAAATAAAAAAATACATATAGGGATCGGGTCAAACCGGGTTGACCCAGCCGGGTCAATGCCCCGAGTCGAGCGGGTCAAGGTCGGGTCGGCCGGGTTTTGAACGGGTTTGACCGAGTCCGTTGTTGCCCGGTCCAATTAGCCCACCCGGACCGGTTCCGGCTCCGGGTCAACCGGATCCCGGGTCGACCCGTCGGGCCGGTCCGGGTCACAAAACACTGATACTTATAGAAAAATAAATATTTCATATAGTTTTTATTTTGGTATCTATACTGCATATATAAATAAACTTTTAAATCTACATCTATATACATATTAAGCAAAGCAGTTACCAAATTCACACTCGAAATCTACATTAAAAGTTTGCACATTATTTGATAACTAATTTCCTCTTAAATTTTGCATTAAATTTCTACTTACTAGTATTAAATTAGAGAATAATGAATACATACAGAATTTAATTCTTTGTTTCATGTACGTTAGGGAAGCATGCCCATCTCCTAATATTTTTTTTTTTTTTTTTCTGAAGTGCTTTTTGATTAGGTGCAGCAAGCTCGGAGTTGCTGTAGTATATATTGGTCCCTAAGCATTGCCTTAGCCAATAATATATCATTAGGCATCTTCGATTCTTTTGTGTTGTTTAGGGCACCTCCTTTGTGTGTTCCTCCATTCCTTTCAAGCGGGAGATTTGTAGGGCTTAATAGCGTGTCCTGATGTACATTTATTTTGGAGCAATAGAATCTATCGTTTCGGAAAAAAAAATAATGTGATAATGTACACTTTGACTTGACAAATATGAAATTACCTTTTTAAAACAAATTACAAACTTTTAGAAAAAAATTAATGTACTTATTTTCTATCAAATTAATCATAATCTCCTAATGGGTAACGATTTTGTTTTATAGGTCTAACAGTGAACATATTTTTTCTAATAAATATATAAACTTTTATAATAAAATACTTTACTTTGAAAAATAATGTTGTTTAAAAGTATAATATGAGCACACATGTTTGATTAAAAAAATAGTGGAAGATTTTTTTAATAGACTGACTTACAAGTATTTATTGATATATATCATGTTGAATTGCATTAATGTTTATAATAAATTATTCAACTTCATCTCTTGGATTCACTTATGATGTGAAATTTTGTCAGTAAATTTTCATGGATTGCATCTTGAAAAAGTTAACATATCTTAACATTAATACTATACTTTAGATTACAATATATTCCAAAACAAAGAAGATCTCCTCCGTGTGGTAAAGGGTACCAACTGGATTTTTGACGACCAATATTTGATATTGGCAGAATGGAGAAACGATCTATCTATCTCGCATAACATCTTTACAGAACTCAATATCTGGGTACAGGCCTTTAATGTACCGCTGAATTGGCTTAGCACGGAAGTTGGGCTGAAAATTGGTGGTGTCTTCAAAAAAGTGAACAATGTTGTTGTTGTGGGCGCAGGTAGTCATGGAGGACGTCTTATGAGATTGCTGGTAACTGTTGATTTAAATGAAGCACTTCCGAGATGCACTCATATTCGATTGGATGACCAATTGGTAACAGTCGGATTCAAATACGAAAAGTTGGTGAACCATTGTCATTACTGTGGTTTTATTGGTCACCTAGAATGGAGTTGTCTCAAGAGATTGGCTGATATTCAATCAAAAAACTTGAAAGAAGGGCAGTTCGGCGATTGGATGCGCGCTTCTGATTTTCTCAACTGGGCAAACCTTGGTCACTCCAGTTCCAGAAACTCTCCTTCCTCAGATACTCACACCAGTACTACTGTTCCAAGCCAGGCCACCCCCATAAACACATCCACTAGCCATGTTGAAGATAATAACCAAATAATTCCTGCTCTCAAGGACTCACCTCTTCAAACGAGTCAGCTCCATCCATCATCTGACCCTTCTACACCCATATCACCAAACCCATCTATACCCTGCTCTTCAAAATCTATACCGCCAGATAACTCTCTCATGATAATTGAAAACCCTGCAGACCCATACCTCATAACCATGGATCTTGACTCTAATCATCTTCTCATCACACAATCTTCTTCTGATATCCCTATCACCCAAAAACTCATACAAAAAATGTGGAAGAGATCAAGAAGCAAGGAAGGCAGACTTCTTAGACATGACACTCCTCTGAATAAGGAGAATCCACCAACTATTGGGAAGAGGCAAAGACAAGAGCTCACCCCAGACATCGATGGTAACTCGGAATCTCTCAATGCCTCGGAAGAAAGGAAGAAAAGCAAATTGTCTGAATCTAAGGTGGAGGTTGCCAGCCTAGAATGGCACCCGAGTGACAAATGCTAGCCGCGGTGTGGAACTGTAGAGGGCTGGGTGGGCCCTCTACGGTTTCCCAAATGCGAGAGTCGTTAAGGACTCACCACCCGAGTTTTACTTTCATTTCGGAAACCAAAAATAAAAAACTTTTGTAAAAACGGTGGTTAAAAAATTGGGTTTTGATCACAGGTTTGCTATTGTTGATCCTCAAAGGCAAAGTGGTGGATTATTACTTCTTTGGCGAAGTGACATCACTATTATCCAATCTGTCACCAAAGATTTCTACATTGCTGTTGAATTACAAGGGAAGGAAGCAGAAACATCATGGGGAGTCTTTGTTTACCTCAGCATGGAAAAACACACCCGAGAAAAACAATGGGCTGAGCTGATCCAAGATAAAAGCCATTGGGGTGATAGCTGGTTTATTATTGGCGACTGGAACGACATTCAATTTCCAGATGACAAAGAGAGGAGGCAGAGACAGAGGGGAGGGGTCAAATGAAGGCTTCAATGATTTTATTTGCAGTATGGAAATGGAAAAAATTGCAATGACGGGATATCCATACACCTGGGCAAATAACAGGATCTCTGAGGAGTTTGTCGAAGAAAAATTAGACCGCGCCTTTGCTTCTCTGGGATGGATGGAGCTTCATTTCAATGCCTCTGTCCTGAATGTCATTAAAGGAGCATCTGACCATTCTATGTTGCTTCTTGATTATGGCAAGGCTCAATCAAGACCTCAGAGAAGATTTAGCTTCGACAAGCGCTGGTTAAGGATTGATGGTTGTGCGGAGACTGTAAAAAAGGCATGGTCAAATCATCATCTGGGAACACCATTATTCATTCTCAAAGAAAAAGTTAAATGCACCAGAATTGCACTGCTTCAATGGAGTTCTCAGTTTCGAAAGCAAAGACTTGGTAGAATTAATGATCTAACTGCCCAACTGGAAGCTCTAAATGATGAAGGAAGGAACAAAGACTGGGATGCCTGGGACAGAATTAAAAGAGACCTCAATGAGGCCCATTGTCACGAGGAACATTTCTGGCAGCAAAAGGCTCGTCACAAATGGCTCAAGCACGGGGATTGCAACTCCAATTTCTTTCATGCTATGTTCGACACAGAAGGAAAACAAATTCCATCTCCAGGCTAGTGGACAGGAGTAATATGGTTTATTAATCTCATTCTGAAATTGAAGGTCACATCACTGCGTTTTACAAAAAGTTATTTGCTTCAGAAGGTTCTCAGGGAGAGGATAATTTGCTCCACCTCATCCCCCACTCTATATCAGATGCAATGAACAAGGACCTTCTTATGCCAGTCGAAGGTGATGAAATCAAAAGTGCATTATTTAGCCTGGCTTCTGATAAAGCACCGGGTGAAGAAGGTATGGGCCCCCTCTTTTATCAGCACTTCTGGGATACTATCAGATCGGATTTCATTTCTGCCATTAAAAGTTTTTTCTCCTCTGGCATGTTGCTCAAGTACTGGAACAAAACCCTTATCACATTGATCACAAAATCTAAAAATCCAGATACTATTGACAAGTTCAGACCTATAAGCCTTTTTACTGTGGTTTATAAAACCATCTCTAAAATCCTTGCTACCAGACTCCAATCCTGCTTGGACTCTTGCATCAATCCTTGCCAATCAGCTTTCCTCAAGGGCAGGCAACTACTTGACAATGTAATTATAGCACAGGAGGTCTTCCATTTTCTAAACTGGCATAGGAATGGAAATCACTATTTTATGGCTCTGAAACTGGACCTTATGAAAGCATTTGATAGAATAGAATGAAAAAGTCTTCATGGGATTATGTTAAAAATGGGTTTTGATCCTCTCTTTGTTAAACTGATTTTGGAATGTCTTTCTTACTCATCTCTTGATTTCAACATTAACGGTCAGATAAGCAATGTGATTTATCCTACAAGGGGCATTAGACAGGGTGACCCCCTGTCACCCTATGTTTTTCTTATCATTGCCGAGCTCCTGACCTCCATGATCTCCAATGCTATTCAAGAGGGCTCTTTATCTGGACTGAGGATTTCAAGGGATGGACCGATTTTATCTCATTTGCTGTTCGCAGACGATGCTCTACTCTTCTGTCGAGCTGGTGTGGATCAAGTGCAGAGCCTTCTCACTATATTGGAGAATTTCAGATTATACACGGGGCAAAAGGTGAATATGTTCAAATCATCAATATTCTTTAGCAGAAACTCTCCAGTTGCTTTGCAAGACAGAATTTGTAATCGCCTCCCTGGGATTATCAAACACCATTCAACAAGATATCTTGGTCTCCCACTTGGCATTGGTAAATCGAAAAAGGAAGCTTTTGAGTATGTGATCTCCTCGGTTAAAGCCAAATTGAATTGTTGGCAATCCAGGCTTCTCTCTCCTGCTGGTCGAGAAGTTCTTATTAAAGCTGTACTAAATGCAATCCCTATTTTCACCATGGATTGCTTCAAACTTCCATCTTCTGTCATCAAGGAAATCTCTAGTCTGTGTGCTTCCTTTTGGTGGAGCAAAGGAGAAAATCAGGACAAAGGCATCCATTGGAGTTCTTGGAACAAATTGACTGTGCCAAAAGCTGAAGGTGGCCTTGGTTTTCAAGATTTCAAACTGTTTCATGAGGCCCTCACTTGCAAACAGCTATGGAGGATAACTTCTCAGCCTCAGTTACTGGTTAACAACGTCTTGAAGAGCAGGTACTATCCTTCCACTTCTATTTTCGATGCTGTTAAATCTCTCAACTGCTTCTGGCTCTGGAGTTGCTGGTTACAGATCATCCCCACTTTTGCCAAGGGCTTTAGAGTACAGATAGGGAATGGGGGATCAACAAAGATATTTGATATTAACTGGATTCCCTCCCTTACTGCTCTTAGACCTAAGCTCCTGGACCTTGTTGTGGGACATTCGATTTGGCTAAAAGATTTATTTAGCACCAATGGGTGGAACTGGAATGAATGGCTGGTATCCCAAGTTTTTTGTGCAGCTGAAAGCCAGGCCATTTTAAAAATTAAATGCCTAAACCCCAACAGGGAGGATAAGATGTTCTGGGGTTTTGATAGAAAGGGAAAATTCACAGTTTCATCCACTTACTCCTCTCTAATTGATCATAAGATACACTTGATGGACACTCCTCAAAGCAGCTTCAATCAATAGTCAACTTCCAAAGCTTGGACCAGAACCTGGAAACTGAAAATCCACAACAAACTGAAGCATTTCTTATGGAAGTGTTGCTCCAATACCCTGCCTGTGAAGGAAAATTTGCTGAAGAGAGGAATCCATGTTGATCATATTTGCCATTCTTGTGGAGAGGCTACTGAGACAGTGAACCATCTCTTTTTCCATTGCTCCCGAGCCAGACTTTTCTGGGACCTAAGCCCTGTTACATGGAGTAGTACTTGTGAGGCCAATAACAATTTCAGAACTTGGTAGAGGCATGTCTACGCTATAGATAAATCTGAAGTGGCTGAGGCTCGCATTCAACTTTCAACATACCTCCTTTGGTGGCTATGGAAGTCACGTAATCTTTGGCTCTTTCAGCAAACTCTCATGCCGGTCCCAGCTCTGATCAAGTCAGCCATCCGTGACTGGGTTGAATTCACTTCAGCTACTGGGTAGTTGTCCTTCTTCTAGCTGCTATTTTTAGTTTTAGTTTGTTTTTCTTTTGAAGTTTCTTGTTTTCAGTTTTAGTTTTCGGACTAGTCTAATGTACTAGGCTTTGGCAGTGGTATATTAGGTTAGTTTATTATTTTTATTTTGCTCTGTCTATTCCCCTTGGGGGATTTCTAGGCCGCTTTTTAGCGTGTCCTCTCTATTTTCAGTTTCGGTTGTGAGCCTCATTTGTATTGGACCTAATTTTCTGTTGAGTTTAATATATTCCCTCTTTCGTTCTGAAAAAAAAAAGATTACAATATATATAATATATCTATATACATATAATTGCTCTCTAACCAATTAAATTTTACCTAATAAATAAAACCTATTAAATTATAACTTGGTGGCACTATTCAAAATTTCTCCCCAAAATCGGTTGCTAGCTAACCACATAATTTTACCTATTAAATTATACCTAGGAGACACTATTCACATTTCCCCCCCAAAATCGGTTACAAATGAATTATTTATCATGCTTTAATTAGCCTTTATAATCTTTTTTTTTTCGGAACGATAGATGTAATATAGAAGAGCACAAAAGTGCAAAAGGAACAAATTACAAGACCCCAACAGGGTAATCTAAGGCCCTAACAGGGTAATGAGACAGGGGCCAACGGCCAAACCAAAAACACGCCTAAAAACAAACCAGAATAGAAAACTGAGAGGACACGCACATGGCGGCCTAAAGAGCTCCACAAACGAAAATAAAGGAAAATGAAAAACAGAGCCACTGCACAATGCCTAGCCTGTAATCATCTCTGAAACAAAAACGAACAAACACACTGAGCATATACAAGGACAACCTACAGAACAAACTAGAAAGCAAATAAACACGACCCTACCTTAGAGAGAAACAAAACAAAGAAAGGACGCAACCTCCCTCGACCGATGCAACTAGGTATCCGGCAGACAAACCGACTACAACGACAACTCCAGAGCACAGAATCAACCACCCACCACTGCATAAGGCCTAGCAAGACGGCAACCCATACCCCGGGACCAACCGAAGAGCTGGCCTGCACTCTATTCACGTGACTAGCAGACACGGCTCGGCTTCACCGAGTCTGCCCGCCTGAAACTGCATTCAATCGACCCTGCCTGAATCAACTGAACACAACCAATCAATCGAGCTCTTACCGGAGCAGTGCCCTGACCCCAGCAGAACCATCGACCCCAAACAAGAATTCACATAACAGTTCGCCAAGAACAAACCGAGGGATTCTTCCGATTCAAGACAAAATTGAATACCGAGACTAAAGCAGCAATCTCAAGGGCGTACCTCCAGTTGATTCAACCTGGTGTCGAACAAGAGGAAGCCACAGGCAATCGCCACTTCGCAGCGAAAAGGCACAGTCTTGACCGGCGCAAAAAGGGCAAGCAGGGAGATTAAGCACCGTCCCGGCCAAAGTCGATAACAGCTAACCCAGCCTCGACCATGGCCCAGCACCACTCCCTGAATCTCTTCTACTGAACCTGTACTCCGGCGAACAATTGGAAGGGGAAGCCACTTCTTTGGCCGACGTGCGAACAGGTCACAGACGCAGCAAAAGAGCCGAAGGCCTGCACCGCCATGGACGAGCGACGGAGGCCGTCCAGCGACGAACTTGGAAGTCCGGCGAGGGAGTTTCTACCGGAAAATTTTACGAGGTCGGATCTGCTAGGGTTGCGGGGCGATAATTTTTGGGGGAGACGAAGAGAAAAATTGGACAGTTAGCTTTTATAATCACTAACACTAATAGTTTTAAATGTCTTTAGATGATATATATGTGTAATTTTTTTTAGAGTGTTGTTTCAGTTTTAATTGGTGAATGATGTACATTTAAACATATTTTTGTCGAAAAAAAATTACAAATTCCTAATATTTATAATTAGTCAATACATAAAAAATATATTATATATCAAATTAAAATCATGTAAACACAATAAAAGAAAAAACATTAATAATTGTGAAATTATAGAAATATATTAAAATCCTGACTGCAATATAGAAAAATAAAAAACATTAATGATTTGAAATTTATAATATCAATTAAATTACATTACAAAATAAAAATGAACACTTTGGCCTTATACAAAATACATAAAATCTCATTATATAAGGCAATTTAAATACAACATAATTATGAAATTAAAACAATTAATGTAAAATTAGGAGGAAAAAAATAAAAATATCAAAAATCAAATTATACAAATAATAGAAAGGCAGATTCCCAAACAATCATTTTCAATTATTGGTGAGCATCAATCATGGAATTTTTGTAATTAAATATATTTTATACTCACAATTATCATTAATTTGATGTAATTAAATAATTTTGACTGAATAATACACAACAATTTTTCAGCATCAATCATGGATTTAATACACACGTTTTTCCCTCTATAAATATAGAACCATTAATCAAATTATAATCACTTCATTTCAGAAAATTATATTCACCTTCATTTCAGAAATACAGTCACATAAAACACACAACTAATCTCCAAATGAC